ACGCAAACCTAAAACTTCTTGAATTCAAGCAGTTTTTGAGAAAACTGCCTACATTTTCCTCTCGATGGTCCACTTTCTAAAACGCCCATTTATTTCTCTCTAGAATGATGTAGAAATGAGCGTTCTTGCTCATTTTGTTTCCGAGAAATGAGCAAAAATGGGACGGAAAATATGGAATTTTGGCATAATCTTGCACCTAAGTGTCTGATATTCAAATTTCGCTTTCTGTGTCAAAACTACTCGAATTTCCTCACTAACGTTGTTACGACTTAATCCACTTTTCAATTCTCTATCCAACGATGCCAAAACGAATTTTGGGGCTCGAATGGTTCTTGAGAAACTTCGAATAGGGACCATTTAGTTATCTCTGGAATGACGTAAAAACGAGCGTTCTTGCTCATTTTGCTTCGGAGAAACATGCAAAATGGGACGAAAAACATGAAATTTTGCAATAATCTTGCGCCACCCTTGCACAAAACGATGATCATTTTTTTAATTTCATAGTTAACAGAAGACTGTATTTTTTCTACATAGCCCCCCCCCCTGCTTAACACCAATATTGGCCAAATTTCCACAAATCAGCACCCGAGGCGATTTTCATAAAATATTCAGCATCTGAAAGCCGAAGTGTCTGCTGCAGATTCTGAAAGTTTCAAGTTGCTACTTGCTCTATATCGGAAGTTTGAAGGTTTTTAAACGGAGCGTGCAGTAACTGCAAACGTTAATTTTTAGGCCAACATTCGCTCAGTCGATAAAAATCCGAATAGCGGGCGATTTGAGTGAAATTTTCAGCACGTTCGGACTTAAGTGGTTTCTACCAACTGTAAAATTTTCAAGTTTCTACGTGCTCTAGAATGAAAGTGATGATTTTTTTAAACCAAAGGTGCCTTACGCGAAAACGCTCATTGTTAGACCATTGCCGTCAAGAAGAGACCGCGTCGTAGCGGACATAACCAACTTGTCTTTTTCACAGAGTAACCTTTGTGATCTGTGGTGAACATAACCTCTAAAGTCTGTGATGGTGGATAGAGCAAAAAGTCCCAGTTTCCATCACTCAGTTTACTTGCATTTATCTATGGTTTACCCAAGGAAAGCCTCGATTAATTTGAAAGCGCGAGAAGACCACTTGGACTGAGCAGGAATATGCGAATATTTGGGTTAGAAACTGGAAGCAAACCGAACTTCACTAGAACTTGTAAGTTAAGAGCCCCCTGATCACTTAAAGCAATTGATACCAGTGTGTTTTTAACTTTAAAACACTCTGTATATGTCTTCCCCAATTGCCCGCACTGAAAACGAAACACCTCGTATATTTTCCATTGAATCAAAGCTACAGACAAGATCTTGTGTCTGGTCAAGCTACTGAACGCTGCTGCTTCTGTCGCGTTGCATTCAAACCTCCATTTTCAACATTTCGGCAGCATAAATTCCTGCGGGTTTACGGCCGAATTGTTACTAACATTTGATTGTTTTTCAGTTGAAATTGGCCTCAGGCCACCAGGCATCTAACAGTAAAGTAGAATAAAGTGAGCAGGTAAGTGAAGCGTCCTTGATCTGCCACTTGATTGTTGTTATTTCGAATCTGCGCGGCCTGCCTGCAGAGTGTTGAGAGCCAAAAGCGACTAAGCAGGAAGCAGGAGCGACTTTTAGTCAATAGTCTCGTCTCTACTCAACAATAATAATGAATCCGTGTGTTATTCCTACGTTTCCAGTGGATATTGTTGGCGATGGCAGATGGATGTCCATGGTAAGATTGTTGCCATTAATGGAAAGTGCTCTTAAAGTGTGAAATACCTAAAATTAAGTTGTCAAACGAGCTAAACAGGCATTATTATAGGAAGCCGTGAACAAGCTACCGGGTCATTATCTAATTTAGTTAGTGTTTATAGGGAGCCTCCGCTGATTGAGTGTTTTTAAGCGTTAGTTAAAACAGTTACGGAAACGCTCTCTATAAAAGCGTCGAAAATTAGACACCCATTAAAGTTTTTAAGCGAGAAAAATATACAACAAAACGTCTTCAAAGTCAATTTTTCAATTCCAGCACAACAGATTCGTCCAGCAGGCGAAAAGCAGCGAACCTGACGTGGTCCTAATAGGAGACAGTATCATTCAACAACTGCAGTTCAGCTCCTTATGGACGGAGAAAATCAGCTCCCTCCACTGCATCAATTTGGGGATTGGTGGCGATCGGTAAGACTGAACCCAACCGATCAACCGCTGGTCGCCCACTACCCGTTTGTTTGGTTGCAGAGTGGAGAACGTGCTCTGGCGAATCAAGAACGGAGAATTCTATTTTCCGACTAGAGTGAAGGCGGTGGTGCTGTTTGTGGGCACCAACAACACCGACTGCACTCCCCATGAGATCTTTGAGGGTATTCTGGAGATCGTCAAGCAGATCAAGCAGCTGCTGGGGAACGTGATCATAGTGATCCCGGTAAGTTTGGCAGCAATCCACTCCGGATGGAGATATAAAGGCGGTGTTGCTTGCAGACTTTGCTCCCTAGAGGACAGTTCCCGAATCCATACAGGGAGAGGAACGACCACGTCAACACCTTCCTAGTGGATAAGTTCTCCAATGAGGCCAACAAGGACGAGCTGACTGAGAACGTTCACGTGGTGAAAATCCACGAGAATATTGTGGGAAACGACCAAACCATCAGCCATCACATCATGCACGATTATCTGCATCTGACCAATAAGGGCTATACGAAGATCTTCGGCAAGGTTTATGATACGCTATGCGAGTTGCTGCAAACCAGCTAAATGTCCTTTTGCTTCAGGTTTTTTTAAGTTGCTGCTTTATTTATTTAATCGATTATTTTGCCAAATATATATTTTTCTTTATTTTGATTATGCCTCCAACCAATAAACCTGATCTTCACTGCTTCGTATTAACTTTCACAAGTGTGTGCACTGTGGGTTTTTATTGGTATTGAAATCGGGCCCCATCTGGTGGGAAATGTGCTTTTGACTTTAAACAGCTTTTTTTATTTATTGCTTGCTAAACATGAGGATTTTTTCGAATTTCAGCGAATTTTCACGGTTCTAAGCATCAGTTAAGTGTATTGTCAGATTGTCAAGAGTTTTAGATTTGCGTGGGTTTTTTTTTGAGTTGCAAAATCAACTTGAAGAAGAACCATTCGAGCCACAGAATTCGTTTTGGCATCGTTGGATAGAGAAATGAAAAGTCGATTCAGTCGTAACAACGTGAGTGAGGAAATTCGAG